TAATCTGCTTTATTTTCTACATTTATTTGATATTTTGCTGCTTTCTTATCAATGCTTATCAATGTTAGATTTGTTATCGCTCTTATTTGTGATTATGGTATTAAAGATCTAGTCGATGAAGTTGTTATGTAATGCTGTAATGTTGAAAGATCTCGATATGAATTTCAATATGTAACTTAAAGCAGAATAGCTGAATTCTAGATGAAATTTATTATTCAAAATTAAAAAATATTTACCAAGAAAACGATAAAAATTTATTAATAATCAACATAAATGATATTAATTCGAATAATTCGTATGATTCTGTAGCATTCCGATATGTCATTGTAGTATTCCGAATTATATAGATTCAGAAATATATACTATTCTATTATTATTATAGTTCTAAAACCATATTTATTTATTGGAATAAACTAAGCAATGTTGACTTCACTTTAATTTGTAATGAATTGAAGACAAAAAAGATGTATTTTACCGTAATACACTCATCTGTAACAGTATGCGATTACGAAATCGAAAGTTATTGGTTGCAAGCATGTTAATAATAGAATGAATGGTAAAAATTATTGAGAAATTGTTAGCAATGTTCTAGTTAGTTTTTCCTAGTACTTCTGCCTTTTCTCAGGGAAATTTTGCTTCCTATTTGATACTAAGAAAATGGCTTCCGACTCTGCCAATGATTATGATAGAACTAAATGAAGACTTAATAAATAAATGGCTGATATTTTCAGGCTCTTCTAGAGGGTGTACTCAAGTGTTGCAATCGCGAATCACGATGATCATTTAAATAATTTGGCGTAACATATAAAATATATTTAAGTATAACAGAACGCGCAATAAGCAACTTTCGCTAAGTCTATGAGAAGATTCCATTTTCAAAATATTTCTCGAAATTTAAAAAGTAATTAAAAAGTCAAAAATTTGGGATTCGTAATTTGTTAACAATTTTACTCGTTTAGTTTCATTTTGAATATCATAAGGAATTCTCGCATTCCAGTATACAGACACACATTTTTATTTTCTTATATGTATAGATTATTTGTTGGCCTTCTCGCTTTCTTTACGTTATTAGATTAAGCGAAACACATTATTAGTAGTTCATCCCGTCAAGACATAGACTAACTATATTCAGAATCATCTGGCATAATACTGTTGGCTCCACGTAACTCATAATATTTAAAATTTACCACAATGAAGTAACTTTCTCCTCTACTAATATCTTCGAGGGGCTGAAAGAATCTATTATAAAAATGTGCAGTATTTGGTGCAGCTTTAATTGGCATCAAATTTACTCGAAATATTTTGCTTTCATAAGGCTATATTTGGCACCTAGTAATATTGGTGGCTGAGTGATTGTGCTTCGCGCTCCCGTGCCACAGGTCCTGGGTTCGATCCTCAGGCCGGGCAAGGTGGACTCAGCCTTTCATCCCTGAAGTGGGTAAATAAATGAGTACCAAGCATGCTTGGGAACTAAATACTGGGGGTTCCGCGTTCGGCTGACCACCTGACCGGAGCATCTGCTCCTGCATCCCAGGGCCCAAAGTCAAGAAAACTGAGATGGGTACAGTAGGCCTTGGCCCTCTAGGGGTTGTCGCGCCACTGAGTTTAGTTTTTAGTAATATTGCAGCAATTATCGTAACTTCTGCTATTATTATTACTACCAAAATGAAGCATCAATAATAGTAAAGGCCTGGTTTCTTAGGACAGGACGCCGTCAGCTGGAAATCAGCGCTAACCTCTGATTGGTCCATTTGTGAGTTTGATAGTATACGTCATCGAACGCTCATCTTGAACTACAATTGCCGTCGAACTCAACTGCAGTTGGATTACAATGTGACGTTAACCACAGAAGCAATGGCGGACAACATTTAACAGCACATTGAAATCAGCCAAGATTTTGATTTTGACATTAAACATAGCTTCTTCATTAAACATAGCACTCTTCATTTAGCTCAGCTATAATGTGTTTTTTCTTGGACAAAGTCATTATTTGTTCTCTAAAACACTGGTCGAC